AGAAGCTGAATTTGACAACATTTTGGTTTTTTTCAGTGAACAGGTAAAAAAATTTGTAAAAAATTTAAAAAATAAAACATTTATTTTTTATGATACATCTATGTTGCATTATTCTCCAGATTTTTTCACCTTTTTTTACAAATTGAGTTAAAAGGTTAAAGTTTTTGATGCAGGTTTGCCATTTCCAAGTTCTTAATGTATTGTGTTGACCAAACAGTGCTTTTATGCCTACATCAAAAAGATGCACAAAAATTAAAATTTATCAATGCTGAATTTTACATATTTTTTTAAAGTTTCAATAGACAGGTAAAAGTTATGGGTTGAATATCCAAAAAACTATAATATATTGATGTTGGCTAAATCCAACACTTGTACACCATCCTTTTTTTTTACCAAAGATTATTTAACATCATGGAATTTAACCATCTAATGAATTTTCATGAAGAATCTCTGTAAAAGGGATTTTAAATTAAGGACATATACATTCAAATAATTTTTTAAATATATAATTGGATATATAACATTTAAAAAATTATTTTTGGAAATTTATGTACATTTTTGCTGTGTAAATAATTTTTGACTTTGATTACTTATGTAAAGTTAGCCTTCAAAATTAGGTTGAAGTGAGCATCCCTTGGAATGTACACTTTTTGCTGGTTAAGGTGGATCTCTGGATTGATATTTTTTTGTTCAGGAAACCTGAATTTGTTAAAAAAAAATATAAAATTGAATTAAATAAGATTAATTTTTCTTAAAGTTTTCTTTTTATTACCAGGCTTTAATAGGTGAACTGCATACAGCTAAATACAGATACTTTAGAGTCTTGCATTTTTTATGGCAAATCATTAATAATGGGATAATATATAAACCTCAGCCATATAAACAGGAGTGAAACTGAAAGCCATGCAAAATGCATTCTTAATCTTATATTTGTTTACTATATGTATGACTTGTGTCACATGTAGTTTTTGTCAAACTGAATAAATAAAAAAAGAAAAAAGGCTATCCTGTCCTTAAGTTTCTGTAACCACTAGCACAATCTCAATAAAAACAGCACCTTTTAGAAAAGTTTATGGCTTTTTCCTGTTACTTTTTTTTTTTACCGCAACTTTTCTTATTTGCCAGTCTAAAGTCACATATGTTGACAGACAATCACATATTTTCTTTGAACTGTGTTCATGTGAAATTGAATCATTTTTTTGTCAAAGGGATTATACCTTAAAATTGAAGAAGTAAAAATTATACCTGTTTAAACTGATACCATGTTCAATGAGATACTTAGCAAAAGAAGAAGAAGAAAAAAAAAGGACCTGTGAACCTTCTATTTATAACAACACTTTTTTTTTTTAAAACAAACAAACATTTTTTATTCAATTATTTACATCTCTGATGATGATGATGATGATCGTCCTCAATCACTCGGCTCAACAAAAGTCCTTTGTTTTCCATCGAGTCTTTAATCTGGGAAAAGGGGATGCGACAATATACGTAATTTTTTTATAACGCATAATCTGGATAAGTCAGTCCTTTTTTCACCATCTTGAAATAATATTTCATATAATCTCCAATGTCCAAGTACCCTGGACTTTCATTCAGAATCATGTTGAAGGGTATGTTGATGGGTGTGCCATCCTTCATATAATGTTGACTAGAGATAACCCATTTGTATTGCTGATAATGGTGGTTGATTTTCACCCTCACTCTAGATCCTGTTAGAGGACAGGGGATTTTCACTCTTTTTTTTCCAACCATGCATTCTCCAGGGAATAGCCTGGATGATGTTCAAAGAAATCCATGATGGCTCCTATTTTAGTTTTCATCCACCCTCCTTGCATGTACATACTATAAACCAAGTATTGTACGCGTGCGATAAATATCCGCAAGTTCCGCGAGTAACCTCTGCTCGCGGATATTTATCGTTGCGAACCAGTTGTTCATTTTCCCATGTTACGGTTAGAGTTATTTGCCCTTTTTTGAATACCGATATAAAAACGGGTCAAGTAGCCTAGGTCACGCAAGTCGTTTGAGACCACGCATCGAATAACAAACGTTTAGAAAACCTTATGGCTTTTTCTTGAAGAACTTTTGTGTTTTTTTTAAGCAGTTGAAATTTAATTGCAAACATTCAGCATGTTCAGAAAAAAGATATATAAACGAATGTTCATCTAAAACTATTTGTCTAAAAATGGTTAAAATGTCAATAATTATTTCAGCTTGTGTTATCTTAGTCCTCGAGATAGCCTGGTTAATTACGATAACTAGCACTTTTAAAAAAAAAAAACAATTTATAATACATCTCTGATGATGATTGCCCTATGGCTACGTAGATCTTGTAAAGCGTCAATTATCCAATTAGCATGACGAACTTTTACACTTGAGAGTTTGAAATCAACTTTAATCTCCTCGATTTTTTACCCCGATTTTCGTTCGAGCGTCGTGAATAATACGTAAGAAGTATACTCATAGTAACATTTTACCTACTTCATGCGAAATAATATTTCATAAATGGAAATGCACAGAATGTCTTGATTATGATAATGCGTAAGCAGTAATCACGGTAGCATTTTACGTAGTTTATGGGCGGATATAAAATTTTAATTTGATACAAAAAATACTTGTGGAAATAAAAAAAAATATGATCCCTTGTTCGCGGAAATAAATCGTCGCGGATTAGTTCTCTAGCGGTCAGTCGCGAATAAAAAATGACGCGTATAATAATTGGTTTACAGTAAACTGACTGACGGGACTCTCACAATACCAACGATACTGCATCTTTGGGAAAACACGTCTGACTTGCTCAGTGTCCTTTTTCAAAATTGGGTACAATGAGCGAAGGGTACTCCAAGCTCCGCTTTACATAGTCTTTTGTAAGGTCGTGTGCAAAAATGAGTTGGACCTACGTTTTTCGTGTGCAAAAATGAGTTGGACCTACGTTTTTGCTCATGTACGACTTTGGGACGTTTTTTTTATGCTGAATACACAGGTAATACTTGACAGGGATTCAAGTCCGTGATTGTGACGTCATCATCACAAACCTAGAGTATATAGAGCGCCGCTTTGACTTCACTGCGCTCATTTTTTAGCAATCATGTCTTTTGCGTGGAGAATTATGTATTGGTATGAGGAAGAAAAGAAAATATGCCATCACTGCCATAAGAAGACGAAAGAGGTATGGAAATACGCCGCCTACAATCATGTGGGAAAAGTTGTTAGTTGGTTTTGGGGATGCAGTGAATGTGGAGAACCTATACCACACTGGGTGATAGAAGACCCCCCTTCTTTAGAAGATTGTGCCTGTGATTGGTGCCTGAAATATTTCCTGTGGAAATATCCAGTGGAGAAAATCACACCCCCTTGGGCCAAGCTCATGAAAAGAAATAGAAAGATTGAGAAATGTCTTTCCTGCTTGGAATCTAACACTCAAGGAAAATGGAAATGTGGGCAGTGTATGAAATATCCCTGCTGTGAAAAGTGTGTGACGAACCTTTTTCAAACTTCCTACAGGAGATGTCCTTTATGTTGATATGATGGAAATAAATATCCATTTGAACAATAAAAGTGTAAATAAAAAGAAGCAAGTCTTGTTTTTTTTTCTATCTCAGTGAAGTGTATCCTGAAATAACTAACAACATCAGAATGTTTGATGTCTATGGTTTATTCATAACATCATAATAATAAACATTCAAAACTTTTCTTCAGTTCTTTTTGTATGGGGAACGATCTCCTCATGTACAAATAGTGTGTTTCACAAGCACAGTCTTTGATGTCGTGTCCTTTTGGGACCACTTTCTTGCCATAATCTTTAATACAATCTCCGGCTTTTTCTATCGATTTCCCTTGAATCCAAGTGCTTTCGGGTCCCTCTCTTTGGTGACCCAAGACATATTTGATTTTCCATTTGAATTCCCGATACTTGGGATGTCTGGGTCCTAATAAGACCAGGATGCTGTCCCCTATGGGATCAGGTAACTTTATTCTCTTACACAGGTAGATTTCATTGAGACCTGTTTGTCCTGGATTCTTATCAAAGAAATCTTGAATACATTCCTCTTTGTTTTTTCATCCATTCTCCCTTTACAGAGGTCCCTTCTGGTTCTTCTATTTTCCAAAGATACTCAGAGGTTAAAAATTCCATGGTGTGCTCTGTCCCTCACTCAGATCAGAAATGATCTCTGGATTTGGGGTCTCCTTTTTATATAGACTCTCAGGTGTAATTATTTTTAGCTTGCAGAGGAAAACCAATAGAGAATTTTTAATTAGGAATAATTCAAAAATCTCATTCTTTATCACTGAGTGTGGTAAAAAAAAAACTAGGTCTGAGGAGCTTGCTTAACATTAGAAAACACCAAATTTGGGTTCTGTCCTTTATTTATAGTTAACACAGAAATAGGCGTTTGGACTGTTGAATCTCGGCTCGACAGATGGGGCAAAACTGAAAGGAAGGAGCACACAAGGCACAGCAGCATACGTGTCCACAAGGTAGAAAAACGATTTGTAATTCCTCGTCTAAACAAATGTGACATTTTCCTCGAGCCTGGACGTCTGGTTCCGGGTTCAGTAGAGGTTTGATCTCAATTAAAGGTTTATATCCCTGCTTCTCTAAGAACCTGACAAATATACCCATCACCCAGCTTCGTCCTTTATACTGATTGATGTAAGGACAATTGGGGTTCCAATAAGCATGTTCTGCATAAGGATTGTCCTCAAGATCCCAATTCGTTAAAGTCATTCCACAATGAAAACAGGTAGCGTTATCTTTCACTCCCCTGTAGTAAAACCCAGCTCGAGCTATGTCTGGTATTTTTCCTAAGAGAGGTTCTGGCCATCCCTGCTCAAAAGTAACTTCTCTCTTTGAGAGCTGAGCATACTGCGGATAACGCATGGGTTGGTCTGGCTCGCGACTCCCCATGATTAGAAATGATCTTTGATGTTGAATAAGAATACCTTTTATAGAGAAGAAAAACATTCAATTTTTAATTCAAAGTCAACATATCAACATATCAATAACCATAAGGTAAAGTGTTATAAGAGGGTAACAATTGTCTCTTATCGTACACAATTCTATACTTTTTCTCTAAAGGTTTGCTCACGACGTCATGATCACGGGTCGTCTGGATTTTGTTGGGATAAGGTACTGTGACTTCCTCTATTTCTCCCTGGAGCATTTGATCTAAAGTCTCTAGGGACACGATCTGAGAGGTTCGATGGTTGAGAGTGATTCCTTTGACTTTAAGGGTCTCGGTTCCTTTGGAGGTCCGGTAACCATAATTTTTAGGACCTGCCGACATGAATTTGGTGATGTGATCCCCATCTAATTCGTCGGTCCATTCTCCTAAACTATTGCCCAAGGTAGGTTTAAAAGCTCCCTCCCGATGTTGGTAAATGATACTGTCCGTATCGAAATAAACGCCCCGATCTCCTAAAGATTGTAAAGTCTCGTAGAGGTGTAAGCGGTCATGGGCTGTGGTAAAACAAGCCAGGACCACATTTCCAAAGGGACATTCTTCGACGAATTCCTGTTTGTCTTGATAATTCACCAGCATCTTGTCCTCATTGGAATCCTCTTTATTGACTAAGAGTCGCATGCCCTTGATGTCGAGAGTCGAACCTTGTAAGAGTTGCTGTAATTCCTCTTCTTCGTCCAAATATCTGGTTTTGGGTAATAACAAGCGTTGAGCAAATTTTCCCCACAGACAATTTAAAAAGAGTTTAGCGATGGTTCTTCTCACTGGATTCTTCTCGATACTGAGAATGTCCATTAGGATGCCTGTTTTGTCTAAGACTTGTCGAATGTACTCTTGTTGTTGTTCTGGGGTCTTACAGTCGGGGGGAAATCCGGAGGCTTCCTGTTTGATCTTGAGGAAGGTATTGATGTACTCTTTAAATAACTCTTGACTGCTTTCTTTAAAATGCCACACTTCGTGTATTCGCTCTAAGGTATATCCCATGTCCAAGGCTTTATGTAATTCGGTCGTCACCCAAGTGCCCGTGAGACTACGTTCCTGGTCGGTGTGTTGACATCGATGTTGAGAAGTAGAATCCTGTCGTTCGGCACACGTTCGACATAAGGGAAATAATAACTTGCCTCCCCTCCGATAATGTAATACGGGGTGATAGAGGCCTCGGGGTGGTAAGACCCGACAATGAATGAGGCCGAAATAAATTCTCTCGTCCTGGAACTCGTCTGTGATGATCTCGAGATGCCCTACAGGAAGAGTTTGTGTTTCAACACGTAAGGGTATAAGGAACAGACGTCCACGTATCTCATGTCCCCTTCCTCACAATATAATGATACCCCAGGTTCGGAATGATGGCAATGGTCTCTTTAGGCATGAATTGTCGACGGTAGGCTAAATTAGCAGCACTGGCAAACGTGATGGATTCCTGGAAAGGGTCCACTTTAACCAAACTCTTGAGGGTGGTTCTAAACTGTGCACAGCAACGTCGTAAAATGTCGACGTCCGAGATACAATACTCTACAAACTCTTTCTGGAAATCAAACACTTTTCCGGTCTGTTGTTCGTACCATTCGAAAAAAGCCTGTCGTCCACTGATAGACATTTCGTCCGGTTTGTAGAAAGCTGCCGGTGGATAAGGCCCCACGTAATTCTGGTTCTGTTCCGTATTAAAAAAGTGGGGAAAGTAACCTTTCTTCAATTCGTCGAATCCGAAAGCGGAGGGCATCTTGGCCAAAGGAAACGGTAAGAAATTATACGAGTCGATGAATTTCAGTCCGCAAATTTCCATGTACACTGTACAAGATCTTATTGCCGTTCATGATGACGTTAGGTTTCAGGGGGGCGGAATGCACCAGGTAATTCAAAATGAATTGTCCGTCGTATCCCTTGAAGTTATGAGCGATGATGATGGCCTCGTCGTGTACTAATGTGGAATTCTTAGTACCTGTTGTGGGTTGTAATAACCAGTCCATGAACTTCTTTAAGGTCTCTGGTCCTTTAAATAGGTGCTGACGGGGTCCCATGTGTTGACAATGAGGACAGGGTTGCTCTATGGGTAAGTGACTGCAATGTTGACAGACGCGGTGTGTCACACACAGATTAGGGATGTGGATGCCGGTTTCCTGAGTGCATTCGAAATCGAAATAAATGTAAAACTGTAAGGTGTATTTCCCCTTCTTCTTCTTCTCGGGCTTCTGTTGAACGTAGCAACGATGATCGGCATCGACGATTTTCTTACAAATCTTACATTGTTTCTGTCCTCCACACTTGTGATGAGGAAATAATTTATTAGGTATCCAAGACTGACACTTCTCGCATAGTCCCATTAAACTGCATACACTGGTGGTGATCTTCTTACTATGGGGTCTTAAATGATTTTCGTAGCAGGTCCTGTTCTTAAAAATTCCTTGGCATTGCTGACATTTAATGTGGGTCCCGTCTTTGGGACATTTGGGGTGTCCTAAACAAAAAGGACATCGATAAGGGCACTTGGTCCGATGTTCTGTGACAGTCCTGTACCCAACATCGCAATGATCACAGTAATATTGGTTCCCCGTTACTCCCG